GGGGGGCTAAATAGAGGATTTACGGTATATCCAGACAGCTGTTTTATTGCAGACCAAGAAAGCTTTGCATTACAAGTTATGAAGAGATTGTTACCTGCAACTTTCAATGCTCTCTTTTTATCAGAATTACATTGCAGGTCACAAGAAAGGTTGCTTCATACACAACAGGATCTTAAATGACTGACTTGAATGAATTTAAGAATGAACTAAAATGGAGGAAAGAAGAAAATCAAAGAAAGAAAAAAAATGAAAAAAAATTATTAAGTCCAAAAAGCTACTGCAGCCTCCTTACCTCTCACTCACTCCCACACACACCCTAAGACAACGAACAACAAAATAAATAAAGATTAAAACTAAAAATTCTTTTCTTTCAATCTAGTGGTTTACTTCTGTAGACCCCAACAAATGCAGGTGTATAGATCAAATTCAAAACTTGCACCTATGTGAGGCTTAAGTTGTGAACAAAGGAATCTGGCGTGATTCGTGACTTTTGAATCACACCAGATTACTTTGAATTTGGTCTATATGACTATTAATTATGAGGTAACACTTTTAATTTCTTTTCAGGGAAGGTAGTTGTGCCTTTACACTTTGGAAATTCATCAAAGCCATTGACACATGGAAAAGGTTTATTCTCTACATGGGAATATCGGTGGTGTGTTATCTGCATCCCAAGGAGTACTGGGAAGCCATTATTATTGGAATCTTTCTTGATGTAACTGCACTGTTTTATTTGATGTTGGGATTTAGAAAGAAAAACAACAGGGAAGAATATAAGTATAGGCAGCTTGAAGTTAAATAGATTATATATTATTATTTATATACCATTAGGAATAATAATAGAGTACAAACACTATAAGTGTGCAACATAAATACCACTAAATACTGCTAAATTATGCTAATCCTATTGTTTTCTATTGTTTAATTAGCACTATCTACTACTAAATAGTGCAAAGTGTTGCACACTTTTAGTGTTTGTACTCTATACTTGCTTGGACTTGTAATATATTTTAGGTATAAGATGCGGGCAGTGAAATGGATGAATTGATGATCTGGGTATTCTGAATGTTAATTAAGCTTCAAGCCACTTTGAGGATACGTGTTGGCATGTCTTGATTAATTTATTATGCATATTTGATTTTAATAAAATTTATGAAGACTAGTTTTCTCATCGTTTCAACACTTGCTAGTGTCATTAAGAAAGGTTGTCGCTCAGAGATGCGAAAGGGCGATCTGAGACTAAACAGAATTTCCGACCTTTTATGTTTTCTTGGGTTAAAACAATAAGAAAAAGCACATTTCCAACCAAAGGTCATGCTTCATATACCAATCTAAAAGAAAACTGTTGTTTGGCTGTGAATATCAATTATTATACATTTTACAGCATGCTACTCGGTCTCAGATGTCAGATCTGTGATCTACGTTTTTTTGAAATAGGTGTATAAATACAGAGAATCTAGTCTGTACATCAGTATTATAATAACGATCATCGACTTTCTCAAAGCCAAAGTGTTTGTGCCATAGGACATTCTATCTTAGGATTCCACTCATCAATGTATTGCGTTTGCATATAGATTCTTTGCCTTTATATTATTATGCACACTCTTGATAATCACACCGACGACTTGTCGAAACATCAAGGAAACTAGTCATCATAAATTTGGTTAAACGCTTCAAAACAAAATGTCTAATTCATATTTAAATACTATATAATAAATCAATAAAATCTTGAGTCTTTTAGAAAGTCTCAGCCACTGAAAATTAATAAAGTTGAGAACAAGTCAGAACAATTACGCCATGCATCAATTTCTTTATGTGTTTTATTAATTACAGTACGTCATGATTCAAGTAACACAATACTCATACCTTAATACACTTATATTACAGAATAATGTTTTTCACATTTATATGTATACATACATATATATAATATATAAAGCTCACTTGACTACATTTTTTCCCTTCTAGAATCTTTGAACTACTATTCTTGCTTTTATCAAGCTCTATATTTGGCCACAGTTATTAGTTAAAATTAATCTCCACGGAAAGAACAGATCTTTCTGATGAGCAGGAAGAAAGGATGTTTTGTGCAGTACTCATGCAATGGGCACAGTTAGTTGTCTAATCAAAGACATTGCATTAGTAAGGTAACATCCCTTTTTTGAGCAGAAATTGGGATACAGCTATTCAAAAAAACGTCGGTAAAGTTTTCTCACACGTTGCATACCAAGCTTGAAATGCACTATGGGTGCAATCAATGAAAGATCAAAACTATATGGAATTTTCTCAAACTTTGTTTGTAAGTTTTATTGGCTGACATCATAGGAGCATAATATATTTCAAGCTTAGTAATCATTGTGCCACATGCAACAAAATGAACCTTTTTTGAAATTGCTCTGTTGTCAGATCCTAGCCTGCACATTTCTGCTGGTTACATTAGTACTAACATAGGAATGAGATAGGGGAGATAAAAGAATTTCATAATTAATCCTAGTACTTAGTTGGCAGCAATATTTAATTATCACTGGCATTTTATAGTTTAGCGATGCCATTGGTGGCATCTTTCCCCAAGTTTTAGATTCCACGTATCCAAACTTACAACACTTGGTATTTTTTCGATTGATAAAAGTCTAAACCCTGGACAATGTCATCAAGAGATTACAGATGCCACAGAAGCAGGAAACTATAAATAGCTATTGCCTCAGTAGCCTCACAATCATGCATTTCAGAATGAGTCCCTTGCAGCCAAAATATTTCTTTCATGGCTGTCATTGTAAAGGCATAATGTAAGGGAAAGCTTTCATTACTCATTTGATTTTAAGTATGACTTATATAAAGGTTCAAACGCCAAGGCGAGGTTTTGCATTAGAATTCAAGACCGAGGGCCATAGGCCACATTAGAATTCTAATGCAAAACCGAGCCGGTGCATTTGAACTGGTTTAAAATATCAACTAAGCCCTAAATTCCATTGTTTCGATGCAAAACACGAAATACTAAATTACATTGAATTCGGAGAGGTAGATTACTGTTGCCTTGTTCTTTTGGAAATAGACTGCTTACAATATATCCGTGTAATTAAAGACCTATCCTGGGTTTATAATTCAGCACCGTTCTACCCTGATATCAATTCCGCCCCCAGCTTTAAGAATCTGGGTTTTCCGAAGAATTTAAGAACCTACATCAAACAATGGATTTAGGATGTGGCTGATTTTTAAACTATTGATATTGATATCTTTCTTATTGTTTTGTTTTGGCAATTTACTAATACATTTAATACTTAGTACTGCTACATTCAAATTCCCCATCCCAGTGAGCTGTTGAAAAATAAAACTGATGACTTACTGTGCTATTATGAGCACAGCTTCAGCCGCTCACTACAAACCTATTGGCAACTTCAGGCCTTGGTGAACAAAGAAACACTGAAAAACATGAAATTCCTCAGGTCACATCTTTCTTGCTTTTATGTGCACATCTTGAAATCAAACTAAATTCAGAACGTTTAAGAAATGCTCGAAGAAACATTTCTTTTACTGCGGTTTTCAATATTCTGCAAACTCGGACATTTCAACGGCTTGTTGTGGAAATAGTTTTTTAATAGGTACCAACTGGTTTTTTTTGATTCCCAGCAGCAAAAACACAAATTTCATTGGCTGCTCTCAACTACCGAGTTCACAGAATATGGAAAAATGTAGTAATAGACCTTCTCCAATGACTCCAAATCTATATTTTCATACACTTACTAACTGTAGTATGTCAAGTCCAACCTTGACTTGGAGCAATTTATTGTTTGCTGGTGGTCACTCAACACATTTGCAAGGGTCTATTCTGATTCAATGTGTTAAATTTACAAGAAAAAGATGATAAGCTGAACTAAGGATTTTATGATGGCTTTAGTCAGTTTCCTTGTTTACAAAGGTCACAAGACCTGAGTGCCTTATCTACGTTTCGATTATTGTCTATCTACAAACTAACCATAGCGTTATTTTGTCTAGCAGTGGAGATATTAAGAATACAAAGTACTCCAAAACCCTAAACGATCCACAAGGATGCAAACTTCACCAAGTTATTGATATTTTTATAATACATTATAAAGCAATAATTTCTTTTGTTATTGGACAGAATGTATTTACAAGATTAATAATAGGAACACTATTTTCTATACATGTAGATCTATTATTATAGCCAATGTGCACAAGCACAAATCTCTAGCACAAAGCATGATGGTAAACCGAGTACTTAACGGTTTTTCAGCTACTCTAAAAATCCCTCTGACAATTTTTCCTTCAACATTTTCTATGAAACTGTAACTGTTTCAATAGACGAAAATAACAGATTTTTTGTGATAATTCTATTGATTTTCTTGTTCTGATTTGTGTAGTACTTAGTTTCCCAGAATGCTTTGAGAGGACTAGAGATTTGTACTTGTGCACATCGGCTATTCTAACACTAATATTTTCCCAATTTTTCTTACGATAAATTTGATTATGCATATGTGGTTTAAATTCTCTAAATGAATGTTTGTAAGAAAAGAATTGGCGGAAATGAGAGTTTTGCCCATTTGTTCTCTTTGGAAAATTCAAAAATCTAATGTTTTGGTAGTCTCCTACACAGCTGCTATTAGTGTCAACCCTCAATGCTCAATCCCTTAACAGTAATTTTTTGCCCAAGCTGTTTGAGGATATTAGTCAGTGTAGGCCTTACAGTCATTTTCAATAGCTGAGTGAAGCATAGAATTGTCAATTCAACAAAGTAACCTTTAGTGGATGTCATGTGTCCTTGAAAAAAATTTGTTTCCCAACAAAGTCATGGAAACACTTTCAACGCACCTGAATTTCATTCAATGCATACCGCTGTTTTGAAGACTACAAACTCATTTGCACAGGCTTAGCTTCATTTATAACTAGGCTATTTGAAAATACCATTAACAGTCCATGCAATTTTAAACCTCGGTATTATTCAACTTGCACTGAGGCACCCTATGCATTATCTTGGTTTAAAACATGAGTTACTTTAATCAAATAAATTAGACTTCTTTAAAAGTTATCTTAGCCATGAGGTTAAAAATCGACTATAGAAATGCCACCTGTTCTTTATGTAGCTCCAGATAAAAATATGATTTTTGGTATCAAGTGTTTCCTGTTAGCCTTATTTCTAAAAGTAATGCAAGATAAGTCCATGGGGAAACTTACCCTCTAAAAATACGAATGACATCTTTGTAAAATGTCTTATTTTAAAAGTAACACTGCACCTTACCGCCATTTGCATTGCTACGTGGCCACCCCAGACAAAAATCACGTGCACTTTGCAATAGACTGCCGTAAATCAAACATGTTGGCATCATTTACACGTGTGTGATTCAAAAGGCGCCAAAACTTGTTGATTGTTTACAAGTATTATGAGCCACACTCACCGGGCATATCCGGTCAATTCCAAATGCGTGTAAATGACGTCAATGTGTTTGATTGACGGCAGTCTATTGCAAAGTGCATGTCACGATTTTTGTCTGGGGTGGCCGCGTAGTAATGCAAATGGCGGTAAAAGTAACACTATACCTTAAACATAATACTACACCTTACTTATTCTATCGATTTTGACAAGATGGCTGCTTTTTCAGCCTGTGCTTGAGTGACCATAAAGTGTGTCGTCGTAAAACCAAGCATTTGTATCATGAAAAACAAGATTGTGAGCTCCTTCAAAGAAGACTACAGATGTAACATACACCCAAATAAGTTAACTGTCTGCTGCTCTTTAAAACTGCATACTCAATATATTATATTTTGCACGTTTTCAAGTGCTATTCATCTTTTATACTCTACTAATTATATTACTGCCCATAAAACATTACCCAGAAGGTTAAAATACTGCGCACCACCAAATAACACCTATTTACAAAACAGAACTACCAGGTTTATTCATGTGTCAAAGTCACATGACTGACTAGTCAGATACAATCACATGACTTTAAGTCACATAACTTTGATGAACTACACTTGGTCACGTGACCTTGCAACCAGTCACCTGATTGCAAGTTGCATGACATTGTGCCTTTCGACTGATTGTGAGTCACATGACTTTGCAACTAGTCACTTGATTGTAAGTCACGACTATAGAAATATTAACTTAGGTAACAGAAAAATACATTACCATACCCAATGGCACCTTTTTTAACCTTTCCAGTTTAGAACTGGAGTCACCTGTATCGATTCACTTCTGAGAGACTGATCAGAAAACGCTCAAGGAATTCTTCTCTTGTACACTTGGTCTTGAGGATACAAATGTTGCATATTAACCAAATTAATCATCAGGTTCCTTTCGGTTGTCCGTTGTACTACTGGACTCTGATCCATTCTCTTCCTCCTCTATAATGTCTTCATGTATTGGGGTATCAGATAAAATGATAGGGTTGTCATCGTCATCATCTTCATCACCTTCATCGTTTTTGTCGTCCGTGTCCTCTTCCTTTTGGATCAATGCCAATTCACGCTCTGCCTCCTTTACCTTTTGCCTCCACATTTTGTAGTTTCTCTGAATATTACAAGTCAAGTCACTGACTATCTTTCTTCGTTTTCGTTTTCTCTTCGTTTTTTCTCGGTCTTCCTCGTTTGCGTTTAGCGTATCTTCGTTAGAATCATCGGCCTCAGACTCCGTCTCTGGGCTGCTGTTCTCTTCCTCGACCCATGTCCCTGGTAGAAGCCCAGCATTTGAATAGGAATTATACAGAGGAGCCACTAAATGGTTAATAAACGATTCTTGTAGCTGCGCCACGTGAGGCTGGTTGCGGTCCATGTATGGAGATACAGGTAAACCACGAGACAGCTCCTCATCACCCTAAAATAAAATAAAAAAATATAACGTCTTTTCAGATGATTGTACGGACCCACTTGCTCACTTCTATGAAGACAAGTAAATAGATTTAATGTTAAATGTGTTGGTCAGATTTAGTCCGCACTAAGCAATCGCGTGCATTTGTACTCAATACTTCAATCAGTACGTCAATGCGTTGAACTCCCTAAAGCGAAAGCCGAACTGTAAAGCTCTCGTATTATATCATAATAAATATTATTGGCGCATTCTTGCTCAATCTCGAAAGAGTCTGCTAAAACCAGGCCCTTAGTCACCAGTAYGGCTGGTCCCGTTTTAAATGGGCCAGTTTTTTTCGTCAGAACCATTTTCCCCCTTTTAAAAATACATTACTGACATAATTAAACAAAAAACCTGACCATTGTCCATTGGTGGCTACCAGTTGAGCGGTAAATGCGGCGCGCAAAGCATGAGTGGACAAAATGACAGGCCCTGAGAATTTTTGGAGCTTGAAAGATCGAAATAAACATGGCGGTAAAGTGAAATTGCTTTCACTTTTTTCTTTCCATATTTTTGCTTCGTGTATGCACGTATATTATCATATATCCAGGCATCCCAGCCACTTTTTAGACAAATTTGATAGGAAATATAGGCTGTGCAAGTTCTAAATATAGGAAAATATAGGATTTTTTCCCAAAAATATACGTACTTTATAGGAGCTAAGATAGCTTTTCGGTGCCATAACCAGGGATCGGTCATAAAAAGAAAAAAAAAAAAAAAAGGGCCATTTTATTTCCTTCGCCAAATATGCTAAACAGTGTAAAATATAAATGTATCAATCAGCAGTCGTCCTATTTATAGGAAATATAGGAGGTTTTCTTTAAATATAGGCTCTTTATAGGATCCTTTACAAATTATAGGAAATATAGGATATATAGAAGGTCTGGGATGCCTGTATATCTCAGTCAAAAGGAAACAGAAAAATACGCAAAAGTTAGATCACAGTAGGCTGGGAATGAGGGCCGGCGATAAAACAGGTAAAACGCACTGTGATTGGCTGAAACGAAATTCACCGCTAAGCTAGTAAGGCCCTGTGAACATGCGGTTTAATCTTTTACTAACCTGCTCATAGAATTCCTCAACAATACGCTCCGTCCACAATGTATGGATATCTCGTCTTTTGCTGGGTCCAGAGATATCTGACATTTTGATGCAAAACTGCAGCGTCAACAAGCGATCTCCCTCGTTGTCCCAGTTGATACCTCCTTCGGCAATCTACAGCCAGATAAAACGAACGATCGTTCAGCTTTGCGTGACAAGCGAAACATCACGAAAGTGCGCTATTAGGTTGAGCACAACTGAGTACGGAATTCTATTCACTCAGTTGTTGCTCTGATCGAGGTCGCTGGTGATTGGAATTTAGTTATATTCAGTTTTCGTATGACTGTGAAAAGCTCAGTGCCGTAAGTGTGCCGTGCCGTAACCGTGTTTTTTTTAGAATTCAAATTGGCTGATTTTTCTCTCGCGCACTTTGATTGATCTGGCAGTGCCGTGAACTTGGCGTGACCGTGTTCTTGCCGAGTTTCGGGTATTTGTTTGGATGGAGAGCAACTTCTTGCGCAATGTGGTTGGTCTGGCGCATACCTTGCCGTGTCACGACTGTGTTGGTGTTGTTAGCTTTTACACAGTCATACGAAAAGTGCTCAACTACGCGTAGCTATATAACTGCGTACCTTTGCATTGAAGTCCGAAAGAACATCGAAGTGTCTCTTGAGATCCGTTGCTAGTATTGCTTCAATAGCCAGAAAGCGAAAGCGTTTGAACTCTGACGAGCTCAGCTCACATAAGAAGTTGTATTTGGGATCAGACATAAGGAGAGTAAAACAAGAAGCGGCATGGTGGTTCTCCAGGACAGAGCGATCATTGTATAATAGAGCCTGCAAACCAGTAAAAAAGATTAGCAACGGTACCAGAGAGAAAGACTGAGAGTCTCTTTACATCAAGGTAGGGGAGGTCAGGGGAGGTTTAACGCTAGGGGTTTTGCCTTRGGCTTTGGAGTAGGATCCTTCTTTGTATTCGTAGGTCTCTATCATCGCAAGCTCACCGTTCGTCTCGTTTCGATACAAAGGCATTGCTACCTTTCAAGATGGCGCAGGGAACTGAAAGGGACTATTGGCCACGTAGGACAGGTGATACAGCAACTAGGACATGAAGTCCTTTACGAGGCTACCCACTCCAACCAAACTCTTACTATGAAAGAAAACTATCCCACCCCCTTTACATCTAATGTTCTAAAAACAACATTGTACCATTTCCCATAATTCATTCAAGTTTTAGGGGTAACCAGGGGGGAAAACCGTACCTATTATGATGAAGACTGATCTATCAGACGATTTTGTTAATGAATCTCATGATATTTAAACACGTATTCGCAAATTTACCATTTCCCAGAATTCTTTCCGGTTTTAGGTGTAACCAGAAGGAAAACCGCACCTATTACGATGAAGATTGACTTATCAGTCGATTTTGTTAATGTATATCATGATATTTGAACATGTATACTGTATCAAACCAGAAACAAAAAGAAAGTATTTCCATTAATTTTTAAGGTGCAGACACACGATGAAGTTTTTCATGCAACATTGTAAGACCGCTAAATTATTACCGGAAAATTATTCCTGAACTAGACGSATATCTGCGTGAACTCGGGCTTCATAGCAGAAAATCGAAAGAATTCTTCGTGAACATTGTCACCCTTTTAGATGGTGCAAAGTCTGTGCAAAATCACGCGTGCTGAAAATGTTGAGGGAGTTAGACTCCATATTATTCATTACTTGAAACAGCGACGAGTCCTTCCCCATATCCGCCATTACTCAAGCATGTGCTCATGGCTGACTCTACGCACGCGCATAGACTTTGATTTGACGCATGCTCCTTAGGGCTTCGAGGGCGATTTGTGACTGAAGGAAAAAAATAACGAAGCCCAATTTATACCTCGGGCATTTCTTCGAAAGCCCGAGTAATAAACCGATAGTCTATTCTCCCTCGCATCCGTTTTTAGTGTCGGTCGTCAGGTTTACTACGGCGTCACCGATCTAGGTTTTCACGCCAGAAAAAACATGTCTGGGTCACGCCTCCAAACGTCTAAGACTCTGCCGACAAACATCAGACTGTTAGTCTGCAATCCTCTTTTTCATGTTTCGGCATTCTTTAGATCATTTTCTTTCCCATAAATTATCAAAAGAATGCCGAAACGTGAAGAAACTGCGTGTTGTGAATTGATGATATGTACTAAACAAATGGGGATCCATTCCGTTGTTGCCACATAGACATTTTCTAAGATAGCGAACGTGGTGCATTATGGTCCAAGCTTTGCTTTTTATAAAAAAATTTATTCATCATGCCTTATATGGTGTTGTTGATACCGATGCTGCACAACAACGCATCCTGTTTATCAACTCGAAAAAGGCCTACGTCAAATCGTGTACGTGTCGAAAGACAACGCGTAAATATGAAATCCCCTTATATAACCATGATTCGTACCAGTTTTGATTCCCCAATTCTACTCGTAATTTTTGATGTACAACTACTTCCTTTACAGCTGGCGTGTAGATAATGAAAGAACATTCAATTGTACTAGCGAGTTAAGTGGATAAGTAAGATGTAAAAGATATTTGGCTTCCTGTTTAACAACGACTTCCTTTCCAGATGGTCCATCTTTATTCTCATTCATCCTTTTTAAAATTTATTTATTTTCTTTGATTCCTCTATTATTCATTTTATCTTAATCCTGGTTCTCTTTCTCTCCTTCTGTTTCTTCCTCCA